GTTATGAGCATCTATAACTATATTTATTTATTCATATTATCATTCATTTATGTGTCCATATATAAATATATAAGGCGATTACAAGTTTGGCTATATATCGAAGTTTCTTGAACTGGTTTTCGCAACTTGACTATATTGGCAGGAAGACCTAGAGGAACGTAACCTGTCCGGTGTCCATAGTATGCATGATAAATTCCAGGGTCGAACCGTGAACTTGGAACATTTCCAGACATTTCGCCGGCATCGTAGTCGGCATCGTCAGTGAGCCTTGTCATTCTTAGCACCACATTACAACTCGTCAATGAGACAAGTGGAGTCGATCCTCTGACTAATTGTGTGCTAAACAATTGTGGTATCCCTCCTTCTGTCCTGTACTATTCACCTATCCTATATCCTCATATCACCCCTTCAGTGTAACAATTTTTTACTTGTTTATCTAAACCCATTTGAAACCTATTCACATTCCCACAGGTTTCCACATCCCTCCGACTGTGCCGGGAGAGTGGATCCAAGGCTTAGGACCCTTCGGGTCCTATCAAAGTCCTTCATCATGATCCATAGGATCCTTCCCTTATCTGCCAATTTCAGTGACTTCACGTCATCGCTGCCACCGTATCAGTGCTACTCGAGGCATTGTTCTGCCCTCTACCTCAAGCATTTGATAGCACGTATACAACAGCCTTAGAGAGCAAGCCTCTAAAGTTTGGATTCATAATTGGCATGGTAACCTAACTTGATGCTACAGATTACCTTATCATTATGCGGCATGTGCATCGAGTAAATCTCGTGTTCAAGCCCTTACTTCATGGACCACATCTATGAGCAAATTTATCTACTAATAGCAAACTAGAAATGGCCACTACCGTGTCCACTGCGTGTCAACCCCCAAATGTGATGGTTCTACTTGATTTGAATAGGCCCATAGTAGACGTCTTCTCTTGGTTTAGAATTGTTCCTCTCTGCTCTCCTTTTAATTTATTTTTCTAAAATTAAAAGTATTACTTTTGGCTAGTCGTCCTATTTTCGCTGATATTCCTGTTCCCTGATCTTCTCCGAGTTTGCTTAGGCAGTATGCAAAGTTTTCGCTAATCCTGCCTTAGATTTCTTTCAGTGAGGATATCAATGGCTTCTCGTATCTTGCGTTTTCTTGTACTTCCATCATATGGAGCCAGCCTTTTTGTCGAATTTCAGTCGCTTTCGTGTCCCGTCAGTGAAATGTCTTCCGCAATTTCGGATCTATCAGTGCCCATGTTTCTGCCAAATCTTTAGTGTTCCTTGATTCGTAGGCTAATTTTTCTTCCTGTTTAACCAATATCCTTCTGCTCACAGTTGCCGCAATCCAGTTTGTCAACCTTCTCGTGTTGCGTCGGCAGACTTATAAAGAGTATTGTCTTTTATTTTGTTATCACATTGATATTACATTATCTTAGCAACGGTCGCGATTTCTGGCTCAGTTCACAGGACGGCAGACATATCCACTTTTTTTCGTCCCGATTAAAGATCGCATTTTCATTAAATCCAAGTTGAAATCTGCTCTTTATGACCCCTATATTTTTCTTTATATGAATTCTCTGGGGTACCCATCACTAAGGCAAATCCAAGTCAGTTTCTCCAACTCCTCGTTCCAGAACCTAGTCTCCGTTAGTCTTAAGCTTCTGATGATTATATTCTTCATTATTCCAATCTTCAGTCTGCAGTTGCGATGAGAGAAAACATTAAGTATTATTCCAGCATGTGACTACTTTCTGAATAGTCTCATCTTGAGTATAAAGTTAGGGCGAATGACCTCAACATCCAGGAAGGGTAGTCGTTAATCCTCCTCCACCTCCATTGTGAATTTAATCCTTCCATAAAGTTGGTTTATAAAATTAGGAAACTAATCCAAATTTTTCTTTGCGACCAAAGTGCAAAGTAGTCGTGCAAGTATCGCATTAGCACTCTTGGTTGCAGCGGTGACTTCTCGAATTCCTTCTCCAATCTGCCCATGTATACATTTGCCAAAAGAGATGAGAGTAGAGTTCCCATCGGTAGTCCAAATATTTGCTCGTAGATATTGCTGCTCTTGGCTATTTATTGTCTTATTGCGCAATATTAAGATTTATATTAAATTTGAAAAAGGTTGAATTTTTAACCAATTGATTACCGTCTACTTGTCTGTGAAGGAATTGTTTTAAAAGGAAAGTCCTTATTAAGTCTCGACATATAAAAGTGCTTGATGAAAATACTATTCGTGAGCGAAATTGGAGATCAAAACTCTTATTTATATTGAGATACAGGACCAAATCATTTTGGATAAAAACCCGTAGTGCAGCTAAACCTTTAAGCTTTGTCCTTAACGAAATTGTGAAATGCAGTCGACATTCGGGATTTTGATTAGGATATACTCATTTTTTAATTTTCGCGATTTTCTGGTACTAGAATGTTACGCTGATCTTAAATGAAGAACGAACTTTTACATAAACTATAGCTTACATAATCAATTACATTATTAACATCATAAGTGAGCATATTAGTAGTCCTTAAAACAAGATTTGTAAAAAAGATCATTTAGACGTAAAATTTTCACAGAGAGTAATTTCACATAATCAAAAATTGGGTGCAAAATTTAAAGTTTTTCAGAGATTAGAACTAGTGTTTGCATAATAGACTAATTGAGGATGGGAATGGCCATTTGCACAAAACTTTACTTTAACTGTCAGGACAAACTTGATCCAGCATGAATACGTCGCAAAATGTAACATCTTTATTTGGAAGGATCGAGTGCTTTCTTGCTGAATCTGAGACTAGGCATCACAATTTTTATATTCGCTGCACCTTTGTGATGACCAAATGTGATTTAAATTCTTCCCCAAACCCACTGTACTACATATTACGAGGAATAAAAAAATAGTAATTCGATTTTAATGCAGAAAGTATTGCATGACTTGAGATAGATCATTGCTGCTTACCCTTATTTTTGCACAAAGTGCTCAGTAAGGAGTTCCTTTTGCAATTCGACCAAGCACTGCCGCAATAAAGAGT